TGTTCCTCAGCGTTTCCGCCTGATATGCTCCACACTCTCCAAAAGTCACCAGTCAGTACCAATAGTCTCCTAACGGAACTAATGTGCGCTTGAAAAATGTTTGAGAGAGACATTTTTGAAGCGGGATTAAAATGTGTGTGAAAGGGTTTTTCGCTATCGCTGTGAATACAGTTTAACAAATAAAAGGGAAGGACATAAATTGATAAAAGGTATTTGCAGTCGGGCTGCACTGATAAGTCGGCTCCGATTTCCTTAATGTTGGGAGATCTGCAATCGTCCGATAGTTACAAGCGAAGCGGATCTTACCCACCGATTTTCTAAAGGTCTAAAAATCAGTCCTTTTTTACTCTGCTGTGAAAGGTTTGACTGTTAGCCCCACCCACCTGGTCATACTTATCAATTGTTGCCCCACAATTACCAGCTCTGCCATTTTCTGGCTATATTTAGAAACATTTCAGATAAAAAAAATCGGAATGGGACAAAATTGAAATCACCAGGTCAGGCGTTTTAAAGATTGGCAATTAAAAACTGTAACTGATGCATTTCTAATTTTCAGCATGTTTATCTGTTTACAAAAAATTTGACTGCATACAGCGTCTTGCACCTTTTTTAAAAATCATTTCATCAATTCATATTCATAAAATATATTTGGTGATACTATTTTTGTATCGACCCAACACCAAGTAAATCCAGGGTCAGTATCGCTGATACTGATACTAATACCAATACCAATACTTTTTAATTATTGTTGTTTGATATGTCATCAAAACTTCTGACATTTAGGTGTTTTTGTGTATTTTTTTGTTTTTGTTTGAGTTATTTCCTCGAAATGTAGGACAGAATATGGAAAGAGATTAAATCCTGTGTTTACCATTTGAATATGTTTCAGTATTTTGTATACAGAAACAATGAAATGAAACAAACTTGTGCATTTTTCCTAAATAATGTGCAAGAAAATATAATTTCAGAGAAAGTCAAAACAAATATTGTTTTTGGAGCAGACTTGATAAACTACAATACTAAAATAACAAAAAGGAAAAAAAATCAAGAGGGAATCTGAAACTAAAGTATTTATCTTGATAAATACTCGTCGTAGCTGATATTAACAGTTTTGTAAATGTGCCAGAATTAGCCTAAAAGACTCTTTTTTTTATATGTTTCCCCAGATTACTTTTTTTTGTTACAGCTCACATAGCTTATTAATTTTCAAAGCAGAATGGGATAAAAATTGCAGAAATTAATCAAAAACAACAAGATCGAATGACGGCATCATAAAGAGTGAAAACAAACCCTTCTGCATTGGATTCCATTATCTAGCTGTCCACAAAGCACTCAGAGGTTAATATCAGGCTAGCATCCTGCGCTAAAAGGCCATCACTGACAATAACAAAGATGTTTTTTGTCTTTTTTTTCACTGCACCGAGCAGCAGCTTGATTGGTCAATGAGTCGAGATAATTATCAGAGAGAAAATTGTTCTTTTAACTCCATGAACAGCATGATATGAGTTCACAGCAAGTGAAGGAAAAGAGCAGAGCCTGTCGGGGCTAAAGAGCTGAACGGGGCATTGTTTGTCTTTCAAATTAGAGACAAATGTTCTGTCGCCATTTATCCACAGAGCTGTGCACCACTGTCTGATTCTGAGAATCCACACTGATTATTTGAAATCATGTTCCCTGGAAGCGAACTGCCCCAAACCTGACTGACCCTAATGGCTGAAAAACAGGGAGCAGCAGATGGACAAATCATCTTTTTCATGAGATAATTTTAAGAGGGTATCAGAGTAAATGGTGCAAATACGTATGCACTTCTCTCTTCAAAATGCCCCTCCCCCAAATTGAAAGTTGTTTCATTATTTCTTCTTCTTCACATTGAAAAAAGAAAACAACTGATGCAACTTTTAAGAAAAAGTTGATTTGTTACGAGCAGTCAAATTATGCATGTCCGAGAAGACATAAAATTTATGTGTTGAATAAAGTAAGTTTAACAAATCCAATGTGATTGCACATTGATTTCTTTTATAAAGTTGGAGTTCCACTCTTTTTTTCAGTGCACAATTCACTTGTTGACACAGAAAACTTCCCCATGAACAACAACAAACTTCGGTGTCCCTACACCTCCTCCAACTCTGCATAGCTGGCAAACTACTATTACAAATGTGCAAAAAACATCAGTATTCCACTAATGTTGAAGCCTCATCCCCCCACCACACACAGAAAACACACACACACACACACACACACACACACACACACACACACACACACACACACACACACACACACACACACACACACATGCAAACACACACACACACACATAATTTCTCAATTTGGCGTTTTGATGAAATAATCCTCCCATTACTTCCTGTTGTCTTTTTAGTGGTTTGCACCAGTGGCATCATCCGGTTGTCGATCACGTGACAAGCAGTTTTGCAAAATAAACCAATTTCTATTAAAAAAAACAAAACTTCTGCTGAAACTTTTTTCAAGAAATATGGTGTTTCTTTTTAAAATTGCCTTGTTTCCACTAAGAAAATGTATTTTCAAAATGTCAAACTGTCATATGGACAATAAAAACGCAGCTACTTTTATATATATGTACAATTATATATATATATAAAATATATAAAATTCCCTTGTTGTAGCCATTGCTCCAGTTTGGGGGTTACTGCCCCGAGGGCCCCGATGACCACAGGCACCACCACAGTGGTGCCTGTGGTCATCACCTTCCAGGCCCTCTCCAGTTCTTCCCTGAGGCCCTGGTATTTCTCCAGTTTCTCCTTTTTCCTGATGTTGCAATCACTTGGTATTGCTACATCTACCACAACGGCTTTCCTCTGTTGTTTATCCACTACGACAATGTCTGGTTGGTTCGCCCTTACCATTCTGTCTGTCTGGATCTGGAAGTCCCACAGGATCTTAGCTCTGGCGTTCTCCACCACCTTTGGGGGTGTTTCCCACTTTGATCTTGGGGTTTCCAGTCCATATTCTGCACAGATGTTTCTGTACACTATGCCTGCCACTTGGTTATGTCGTTCCATGTACGCTTTCCCTGCCAGTATCTTGCACCCTGCTGTGATGTGCTGGACTGTCTCAGGGGCCTCCTTGCACAACCTACACCTTGGATCTTGTCTGGTGTGGTAGATCTGGGCCTCTATTGCTCTGGTGTTTAGGGCCTGTTCCTGGGCGGCCAGGATGAGGGCCTCTGTGCTGTCCTTGAGTCCAGCTTTTTCCAGCCATTGGTAGGATTTACTGATGTCAGCCACTTGGGTTATTTGCTGGTGGTACATCCCATGTAGGGGCTTGTCCTCCCATGATGGTATCTCTGGCACCTCAACCTCCGTTCCCTGTTGTCTGAGACATTCACTGAGCACATTGTCTGTTGAGGCTTTGTCCCTGATGTATTTATGGATCTTAGTTGTTTCGTCCTGGACAGTGGTTCTCACACTCACTCCTCTGCCTCCTTCCTTGCGGCTCGTGTACAGTCTCAGGGTGCTGGATTTGGGATGGAACCCTGAGACTATATAACATTTTATATATATATATATATATATATATATATATATATATATATATATATATATATATATATATATATATATATATATTCAGACATTTCTTAAGGCATTCCGACTGAGCTTCACTGTGAAATAAATTAGCGCAGGAAGTTTCGCAGTCTTTCTATCGACCTTCCTTCATTTACCTCCATTTCTGCTTCATTTTTCCGCATTTCTGTTCTTCCCATGACCAGAAGGGGGCGACAAAGTGCATCAAACGTGCCAGTCGCAGCAGCAGGTTGTGCTTCTTCTACTATCTCCCCACTTTTCTTGTCTTTCTGCTCTTTTCCCTCCCATTTCTCTCCCCCAAGCTTAACCGATTGTTTTTCTCCCCACATATGTAATAATGACAATAATATAATTTATTATTGTTGTTGTAAATACAGAGCAGTAAAGTGCACGAAAACACTAACTGACGAGATGGACACTCCAGCAGTTACAAGGAGAGAGTGTGTTTCACATTGTGTGTGTGTGTGTGTGTGTGTGTGTGTGTGTGTGTGTGTGTGGTGCTGAAAGAACAGCGCCCGCGTTCTGTGGCTGCTGGATGCTGGTTCCGGTCCATTCCTGTCTCTGTCTGTCTGTCTAATCTCAGGCAACATCAACAGGAGGCAGAGGGGGGACTATCCTGCCTCCGCTGCGCTCCGAGCGCCGGAGCATCATGGGAGGAAGGTTCTGTGGTTGTTTGGTTCCGTTTTAAGCGACGACTCCGCACTTTTTGAGTGGGGAAGGAAAAAAACATTCAAAGATTTAGATAGAATTCGTAATTTTTTTTAGCCATTTTTCCTCACTTTGCGCCTTAAAGGAAGCTGCTCTTTCTCTCCCTCTCTCTGTTTCTCTCTTCCCCCTCTCTCTCTGTCTCTCCCTCTCTTTCGCTCTCTCTCTCTCTCCTCTCGGTCTGAGGAGGACAGTCCTAAAAGAAGCGGCTCAGGTCTTTGCGCATCTCTTTCCCTGCACCGAAAGGAGGATTATCCAGCGGAACTCGTTCCAGGTGGTCTTGTTCTTGTTTTGGGTTTTATATTTTTGGGGAGAGGGAGGACATATTTTTATTTATTTATTGGCATTTTGTGGACAAAACGGGGCAACATCCAGTGACTGAGTCGGGAGCCCCCCCCACCCTCCTCCTCTTCCTCCTTGTTGACCCCTTAGGGACGCAAATGGATAAAATACTCTTAAATATTCCGAAGTTATTAATAGCCTTTCTACAGCTGAAATGTCTATGCACGATCAGATTGGTTGATTGAACATCGGACATTTTTTTTCTTTCTTTTTTTTTTTCCAGGAGGAAAATATTCTTGGCAATATTGCTGCAAACTCCACCTGCACATCCGTGCTGCGATGGTCACTGCGTGGCCATATGAGGAAGAATAAATTAGATTTTCCATACAACTGTCAGGCGATCATCACAGAGTAAAGTGCATTAAATAATAATAATTATAAGTAATAATAAAAAACTTGGGAAACAACACACGCACACACTTTGAACGTGTTCGTCGCGGATCCCACATCGCAGACTGGAAGTTATTTTTGGAAGAAGAAGAAGAAGAAGAAAGTAGAGCGACTCCTTCCACGCCACGTCCCGGCCAGGAGGGAGGACCTCCTGGAGGAGCGCGGAGGGAGCGCGCCGGGTCGCCGACTCACGTCCTCCGTCCTGGAAGTGAGGCGCGGGACAGGCGGAGGAGAGAGCGCGGCGGAGCTGGAGGTGGGGGCGGGCGGGCCGGCGGGGAGGAGGAGGAGGCTGGAGGTTGGAGAGGGGGAAGAGTGTGCGTAACTGCGTTGAACTGGAGCGGACTTCAGCTTCCCCGCATCTTGGAGAAACAAGATCCGAGTCCCCCCTCTGCTGCCTCTGTGCTCATCCGCCACAGATACGAACCCCGGACCTTCTGGGCAGAGGAGGAGAAAGGCTTTGCTACTGTCACCATTTCTTCTTCTTCTCCTCCTTTTGAGGCAGTTTTGTGTCTGGAATTAGGTGGGATTATTTCTCCTCCAGTTCCGCTCCGGGTCACCTGGCTCCTCTCGGGATTCAGGATCACTTCCATCCAGTCGTCAGGTAAGGTAAGGCTGCCTGCGTGGGATGCGGGGGGTTTTGCGGGGGCAAAGAAGTAAAAAATAATTAGAAGCAGAAGAAGACGCGGAGCTCGTTTCCTCCTCCATGTCCGTGTGTTGGCGCGCGCGCCTGTCTTCACTCATTTTTCTTAGACTTTCAGGTAAAATGTCCTCATTTTGGAGACTCCGGTCTTTCCGGGCTCCAGTCCCACCGACACTGCAGTCAGGTGGACATTTTGGGCTCCTGGGTTCGGGTCTGGAGTGTCAGCTGAGTTTAGGGTTCGCGGTTACTAGCCAAAGTTTTCCGTCCTGTCACTAAAACTCGTTACGAAAAGCATAAATTCCCAGGTGACCTCGCGACATGTTCAGCATTTTCTTGGCCTCATGGGACGGTTCGAGCTGAAGTTGGAGTCTGATTGGTAGCCTGTGTTCAGTTGCTACATTAAAGGGATATTTCGTGTTTTTTTTTAAGGGTTTTAACTTGCATGTGAAGGTATTTTTTCTGTAGAATTGAGTTGAGGGAGTTGAGATGTTTTTGGGGTTAATGTTGACGATACAACAGATATTGTCTTATCTATAAAGTCACCAGATACAACAATATTTGTATCGGTCCAGGTATCGACAAAAATTCCAGATCGGGTATCAGTGACAGTGTGCCAGATCAATGATGACAGATCTATTCAGCTTATTTCTACTCTATGTGCTCTGAGCGTTACCATAGTTTATTGTTTATTTTGTATACATTGTACTTGTATTTGATGAAAGATTTGAAAGAAGGTTTGTTAGTGAGGTAAGGAAGATGAGTCAATTTTTTGGAGTTTCAGTTTCATACGTCTGATTAGAAAAACAAACGTTTTCAGTTCATTCAGCACCATTTTTCTGTGTCGTATCGGCACAGAACCTCATCTGTCTCGCTGTGTAATGTAGACACATCTGTTCTCCAAAAACCAGCTTTCTTTCTCCCATGGCTGTAGACATCAGCTGAGGCATAACGTGTCCAGTACATGCATTTTCATAAAAATGCATGTAGTTGTTTGTTCAGATGACTTGGGCAAATTGGACGGTCGAGATCATATTATTGAAAGGATTTTCAACAATCATTTTGAGTCAAATGTTGTAAAAAAAAACACACACATTATGTTGGTCACTTGATGCATTTAAACAGAAATATTTCAGTTTTTGAACAACTTTTTTGTAAGGTGACAGATTAAAAGTCCTACAAGTCTAAAATCAAACTTTTGTGGCCATCAGATGTTGCTAATCGGTCATAGTTTTCACCAAAAACAAGCTGATTAGCTTGATTATCTCTGATTATGTCTTTAGGGCCAAAACAATGAATCAGATTAATTGAGATTAATTGATTATTGAGATAATCGTCAACTCATAAGTAATCAAGCTATTAACTGAAGGTTTCAGACTCAAAGCAGCAGCTAGGCCAATACTGCACAAAAGTACATTCATTTTGCATTTCTAATAAAAAAACAAAACAAAAACCTTAATCGTAGATAAAAATGTTTTAGCCAAAACTCAAGTGGCATAATTTCATCTTCACTGGATACATTTTATTTTATTTTGTGTGCATCTTTTGATGTTTCCAAAAATAAACTATTAAATAAACACAGCTGAATAGTTTCTATAAGGCAGGAGTTGAGCTAGGCTAACAAAAGCAGTGGAAATTAATGTGAATATCCCAAGAAGGACCAGAAAACAAAATGGCGAGTCCGTGTGTGTTTTCAGGTTCTTGTGGAATAATCGTTTGAAAGTTGTGAAAAATGAAGTGGAGCGCTTTTTGTAATTCGGAGCGCAGCCAGTGAGTCGGACTTGGCCTTACTTATTCATCAGGCTGTGTGTTTGCACGGGAGAAACGATGTGTGCTAAAAGCCAGACGTCTTATGCAGCAAAAAAAGCAACAACACTGGCTTCAGGGTAGCGGTGGGGAGGAAGTAGCCTAGCATCTCAGCTGGAAGTCCCACCTGAAGAGATGCAGAGCGGCTGTTCGGTGCCATCGGTTTGCGTTATGAGCTTCCCTTCTGCCTGTTCCTTTTGGTCCTTTAATCTTGGGAGTCATTATGAAACAAGAGGCTCCTGAGCACAGATATGAAAAAGGTCCCCGGTGTTTCAGTCGGAGCCTTGCAGGCTCCCACACACTCTCTAGAGAAGAACTAAACTGCATTTTGGGTCATCTGTAGTCTCTCTGTGAGCCTTTTATGGCCCCTCCCTGCCTCTTTCTGTGTGCTTGCAGAGGACATACTTGTTTTGCCTATATTTGTTGTGCGGCTGTTTGATGGCATGTGGTCACTTTGTCCTGTGATTCGTCTTATTTGCAATATCTCAGGATTTCTGAGCGTAATTTACGCTGTCGTTAAGAGCAAAGATGTCCAGAACTTAACTGCAGCTGTGTTCCCATTGCAAATGTGCACAATGCTTCCTTCTTGTCTCAGTTCATCACATAAACATCCAACAAGTCATTTTTTTGGTTTCTGGTGAAACAAAACGTGTTCAGCCGTTGTTAAAAGCCCGACAAGGCACTTCATTCTTATGCTTCATCTTTCTCTGTTTAAATCTGTCTGTTGAGAATTATTTAAAAAAAAAAAAAATTCCTATAGTTGAGCCTCATTTTGTTGTCATTTTCCCCATTGTTTATCTATTTCTGCTTGTTAAATTCTGCTGAAGGTCTTGTTTTTTTGTTTTTTTTTTTTAACTTGTAAAATACCAAGTAGTTTTGTTTACGTTTCTAGTGCAAATATCTTGGTTCAAAACTAACTTACAAGTAACTGTTCAGTAAGATATAGGAGCTTGTTTTAAGTCAATAACTCCTTAACATTGATGAAAAAGTCCTAGTAGATTATTTTACTTACAAAATGGGAAAAATGTCTAATAATTGACCACTGGAAGCTGAACATTTTCATCAATATGAAGAACTTATTGACTTAAAACAAGCTCCTGTTTCTTGTGGAAAAATCACTTCTAAGTTAGTTTTGTCCTATTTCAAGTGCGGCAATATATTTACACGCAAACCGAAAATACTTGTGCGTTCCAGAGTGGCCGTCAGCTGCATGGCCGGGGCGAAGCACCTTCGTCTGAAAGGCGACCGCTCTGCCTGCACTGTATAATTTTCCCATTTATTGAAGTCTTCCGGAACACAGACGCCGTTTGTGCGAGTGCTTTACAGCAGGTGCTTTCTCTCTCTCTGTCCCCCGCGCTCTCTCTTTCCACCGAGGAAGAGAGGTTGCGCACGCGTGTGAGTGAGTGTGTGTGTAGCTGTGATCGGTGACAGAGAGTGAGGATTTATAGTGTTAGCATGGTGCTGAAGAGGAGGGAGAGAGACACAGTGGATGTGTGTCTTCCAATTTTCTGTGTACCCATAGTTGCGTGTGTGTGTGTGTGTGTGTTGCAATGCACCAGAAGAGTGTTCAGTGAGACTCGCACCACACACACCCATAAACAAAGGGGAGGAGAGCGCTGGGTTAAATTATCTCAGCCGTTTAGCAACAAGGTGCACATCAATCGTCAGAATGCAAGAAGACAGTGGAGGCTGCTGCTTTGTTTGCGTGGTGTGTGTGTGTGGATTTATGATACAGGAATGGTGTCGTATATATCTGACCATCGGGGTAGATGAACCGACAGCAGAATGTCACGCTGACCAACAGCAGCCATTTATAACCAGGACGTGGATCCGGGCGGGTAGTTTATATCAGGGATGCGGCCGCGTGAAGGGACACCAGCAACAGGGAGTAATAATGTTGATATATCGAATTTGGTTCAACTCATGTAATGAGACTCTTAATGTATAGAAAGGTATAAACAATAAAGGAACACGTAATCCCTTCAGGTACACCAGAGTGTGCAACGTATACACACGTTGCATGTTGTTGTTCACATCCGGACATTTTGCACACGCGCCCAACAACGGAGGGCAAAAAGACGATCCTTTTACTTGTCATCCGTACCTGCGTGTCTGCAGAACAACATTTTTGTTAACAAAATAAAACCTGGAGATGTAGGTGTTATTAATTTAGTGCAGTGAGCGGAAAAAATAACAGAAGAACCATCAAAGAAGAACTCGAAACCACTTGTCTTTTACTTTTTTCTCGCACCGTGTCCACTTTGTTACATTTCTGAATAAAAATATGTTTTTCAACAGGTCTGGTTTCATATCCTAATTCTAATTGACATGTTTTAATACCTATAAGCAGCAAACATAATCATATAGAAATCAAGACTTGATAATGGTTTGTGAATAATCAGTGTATATAATGTTTTGCTTTGTGAAATGAGTGACCGAAATAATTTTTAAACTAACATTCACATTATTTGAATCTGAGAGAGAGAGAGAAAAAAAACAAACAAAACCATAAACCGCAAGTTGTGGGTTTGATTCCAGCTTCCTCCTGTCGCTTGTCGATGCGCTTTTGGGCAAGGCGCTTAGCACTCAGTTGCCCACTGATCTTTGCACTGATGTCTGAATGTGTGCGAGTTAGTGAGTGTGATAGGGTGAATGTGGCTGTAGTGTAAAGTGCTTTGAGTTGTCAGTATGACTAGAATAGCAGTAAATAAACTCGGTCCATTCACTCTTTGCAGGTTTTCACAGCCTCTACTCTTCTGGGAGGTCTTTACGCTACATTTAGGAGTTCCAATGTGTATATGAAACATTTGGATCATTCTGAGAGAAGACCATTTTTAAGGCCATACACTGATGTTCAACGAGCATCAATCAGCACACATGAAGTTTGGAAGGGCAGTTGACCTCTGTGTACCTTTGCGTTCATTGACCTATTTCTTGGAATTATGCCACCTTTAATAAAACTTTAATATCGAGGAATATTTAGTAAGGGTTCACCTGTTAATCGGCCCAGATTTCCTTCATTTTGGGAGCTTGGTGATTGGCCGATAGCTACAAGTGAAGCCGACGGTTGTAGGAGTAGCTTGCTGTCATGGAAACCGCCAGTCAATGGTGACAGATGCCCGTTCCCACAGAGTAAATGGTTCTTGTTTTGCTGGAGATTTCT